CCCCCCCCCCCATAAAGAGCTGCAGGGTTGAGGGGGGGTGGGGAACGATGCCTGGAAAAGGGCTGAATTTGCCCCATGGGGTGAAAGGAGAGGAGGGGGTGGTGCAGCCCCCAGCAGCTTTGGCACTCGGGGAGGGTTGGGGAGGGACTTTGGGTGATGCTGAGCCATCCGTGCTTGGAAACCTAAAGAGCCAGGCTCAACGTGAACCCAAAGGGCAGGGTTTGCCCCCACCTTGCTGTGATGCCAGGTGGTTGCACCAATGGGAGATGCTCTGCCCCATGGCGGGGATGAAGGGAGCCCTGAGGTAGCCCGTGGCACTGAGCAGGGGAGGGGGGGGGGGGGGGAAGCCACCCCAAAAAGCACCCGGCCCCAAACCCTGGGCGGCCCTTTGGGAGGAGAAACTGCAATCCTCAGTAGGGATGGCAATCGGGGGTGAAAAATTCCCCCCTTGGATGGCACTGAGCCCACAGCACCGCGCGGGGCAGACACCAGCTCTCCTGGGTGATGCTCAGAGGGGGATGAGTGCATTCAGGCACAGCTCCATCCCAAGGCATCACGCTGAGGCTTCCCGACAGTCACTGAGCTCCATGTTCCCGCTGAGGAAAACCCCATTCCGAGGCCAAGCACCGTTCTGGGGCGCAGGGATGCTACTTCCCTAAAGTGCTCTCAGCTCTCCATCCTCCCGTCCCCAGCTTGGCTCCTTTGCTGGTGCCGTAGTGCTTTGGTCGTCTCCAGGTACCCCGGGGCAGTCCGTGCTGATGCACAGCTATACGATGTTCTCTGCTCCAGGTAGGGGACCCTGAGGAGGGCCTGGGTCCTGCTTGCTGTGCAGCTGTGCCAGCTGCAGCACCGGCATGTTGCAGAGCGGGCAGACCTTGCGCACCTCCAGCCATTTGATGAGGCACCTGGGGGGCAAAAAGCACAGACAAGGGGGTGAGGGGGTCATAAGGATCCCAAAGCAGCACCCTTCTGGCACGTGCCAGGTCTGGTCCATTTTCATCCCCCTCTTTGCAGTGTTCTTAATGGTACGTTCTTAATTCATCATTTAAGTACCATTATATGTAAAATATATACATAAATACATCATGTAGAACAACTACATGACATAAATCAAGAGTATAATCGCTTATAATAACATATAGCAGGAGGGTCGGATTGGATGATCTCCAGAAGTCCACTCTGACCCCTTGTGGTTCTGTGATAATGTATATATTTGCTCTATATTTGGTGGTTTTTGAGGTCTTTCCCAGCCTAATGATCCTACGACTCAATGAATCATAAATCACAGAATGGCCTGGGTTGAAAAGGACCACAACGATCATCTGCTTTCAACCCCCCTGCTACGTGCAGGGTCTCCAAACACCACAGCAGGCTGCTCAGAGCCACATCCAACCTTATAAAATGCAAATAAATACACAGAAACCAGCTCTTTTTTTTTTTTTTGCTCCAAATGCTTTTGTTGCTCCAAATGCTCCAAGGTAGCCGATAATGGGATTTTCCACCTGGAGCACTGCACTCAGTGCTGGGCTGCCTGATTCCAGGCAGACAGGGAACTGCTGGGAGAACCCAGCAGAAGGCCACAGATGCAACAGGGACCCAAAGCATCTCCCTTAGGAGGAAACGCTGAGAGCCCTGGGGCTGTTCACCAGGGGAACAGAACGAAGAGAGGGAATCTTAGCAACAGGGGATCTCCTGAGGTCCCTTCTGACCCTCCCGCTCTGTGATGCTGTAAATAACAGCTCCAGGCCTGCTGCACTCACTTTCTGTGGAAGGCATGTTTGCACGGGCAGATCCCCAGCTCGTCCTTGGGCTTGAATTCCTCCAAGCAAACGGCACAGATCTGAAAGCAAGTCACACAAAGTCAGCGGCAAAACCGAGGCAACGCTCCCCAACAATCTCTGTCTCATCCCATTGCTTTTGGTCATGGAAAGAAAAAAAAAATGGGCCCTTTGCCTCGTGGGTTGGCTTGGCAGTGTGACAGAGCGTGGCTTAGCACAGCTCTGTGCAGCCCCGGGTTGTGAGCCTGGGGGTGGTAAGTCCTGCAGCTCCAGAGGTCATTAAACAGCGATAGAAGGAAGTTTAAAGCTCAATTTAGGCTTAATCTGCCTTCTAATTGCTGGGGAAACTTCCCAGAGCCCAAAGTTTCACTTGCAGAGCAAAATCCCATCAATTTGCTCGAGGGTTGTGCAGTGAGGATCACGCAAGGTCTGGATGCCATGAACCCCCCCATGGAAGCAAACCCACACATGGACTCACCTCGTGTAGGTTCAACTCCTTCACCTTCTCCTTCAGTATTACCTGCAAGGCAGAGATGGGGTCAGGATGCTGCTTTGAACACGCGTTTCCAGCATCTCAGATCTCCTTAAGTCACATTTTGCAACCCATTTCTATTACATTTTCCCTTTCCACTGCATTGATTGTACTGAAAATCCTCTGCTTTCAGTCCCAGCCTCTCCCCAGCTGTGTGCAGTGCAAAGCTCCGTACACAGATCTGGGTATAGGGTGAGGTCTTCTACAGCACAAGAGCAGAAAGAGCATAGAAGTAGCCTAAAATCTAAAAGCATACCAAACCATGACTTCTGCTGGATATTATCAGCAATGATTGTCATTGTAAATACACAAGCATGAGCACTCTGGTGCTGTAACAGCTGCAGTGATCCCATTTAACACCCCAGAGGAGCCAGAAACCACCTACAGATGGTTCTCAACCCAGTGCAAGGACAGGATGAGCACAAAAATGACCCAAAAAGCACAAAAGAAACAGACAAAATGATCCGAGGACACAACCCAGGAGGTCTCCTCTTGCACTCAGACCTCCTGGGCTGGCACAGGGGGAACGAGCTGTGGTGTACAGCTTCACTTCCACCCCTTCCCCAGGGGGTTCCCCACATTGTAACACCATACACAACACCATATCAGCCCAATCCCACGTCAAGTAGGTTTTCTTGAATGATGGAGGCAGAAAAATGACACAAACCCTGAAGAAAACAGGATGCATCAGTGGGAACCTGTGTTTATTTTCACCTCTGTGTGGGTGGCTGCACACAAGAGCAGGCGATGTGCTGCCCAGGAGAGCTGTGGCTGCTCTGACCTCCAGCTGTGATGCTGTTACTGTTCACAAAAGGTTTGGAAAGCCCTGAGGTCTCCAGGGGGCTCCAAGGTGGGAAATGTCCCCACCATATGGGGATCTTGCAGCCACGCTCCTGGGACTTAACTCTTATTTTAGACTGTTTTAAAATACCTGTATTCCTATTATTTTGTTTTCCTGCTGAGCCCTCCTGTTGCCTCTGGGCTCAACCCTGGGTTGCATCCAACTGATGGCATCAAGACCTGCCCCTGAAGGGCCAACACCTGAAGGCAACCACAGGCAGCTCAGGATGCTCATGGGGTGCCCAGCTGGCAGGAAAATCCCAAATCAGAGCATCAGCAGCACGATGTGTGGGGAGTGAGGAGCACAGGGATGTGGTGCAGTGGTGGCACTCAGCAGGTGGGCTGGACACGGTGACCCTGAAGATCTTTCAAACCAGGTGAGTTGGTTCCATTAACAGCTTCTCTTCCAAGGAAGAGAACCTCCCAATGGGATTGAAAGCACAACCTAAAGGTGTTAACACCAAGGAACTCACAGCCTTTAGGTGGATTTGGTTGTCAGCCAATCTAGAAGGGAGAGGGGAGAAGGAAGAAGGAAGAAGAAGGAGGAAGAAGTGAGAAAAAAGAACAGAATAGAAGGGAAGAGAAGAAGAAGGGGAGAGAAGGGAGAAGGGAGAAGAAGGGAGGAGAAGGGAGAAGAAGGGAGGAGACTGTTCATCACCTCACCTGTTTGTAGGCGTAAAGCTCTTTGTGTGCTTGATGTCTGAGCCTGGAATTAAAACAGAGAGAAAAGTGAAAATGAGGATCATCACAACAACCCAACACCCCCTTCCATTTCCCTCCCTCTCCTATGGAATCTTTTCTTTCTTTCCTGAAATGGTGCACTCATTTCAAGAGTCTGGGCTGGGATTTTGTACCTAGCTGGAAACATGACATCTCCATCCAGCTGTCAGCACAGGACCTCCCACAATTTCCCTTTTCTGAACTCCCCGATTTTCCAAGCAAACATCAAGATGTAAAAATGATGTAAAAATATATATCTCCATCCTATTAGCATGCAAAGATCCCTCTAGAAAAATGCTGGAATTAAAAAGACAACCAAAAAAAAAAAATGCACTTTAATGCAGCAGAGGTTGGTTAGGGATGCAGGAAGGCAGCTCTGGAGCCCTGGTTTGGAGCTCAGACGCCTTCTTTGAAGATGCTTCTCAGAAATTGGGTGACCTAAAAGCCAAGGGTAAATCCATTGGAATGGGAAGGATGGGCCTGGCAGCAATGTGCAGAGAGCGGAGCAAGTGGGATGGAACCAGCTCTGTTCACAAGGAGCCCTGAGGCTGGGAAACTGCTTATGGAAGACAGATAGGAAAAGGGAAATTTGCTGCTGGAGACAGCCTACAAGGGGAAAAAGCAGCTCAGTGCTGCCAGATGAGTGCGGGTGCTATGTGGGAAGGTTTGCATGGGATAACTTTGCTTAAAAACCTCTTGAGAACAGCAAGAGCACATGAACAGTATGAACAGCCAAGCGTGCAAGGTGCGTGGAGCAGGGAGAGCTCTGGGGGAGGCATCCACAGGCTGAGCACGTGGCTTTGGCTGGGCTCAGAGAGAGGATCCTGGGCCAGATGGGTCCATCCCACCCCACACAACTGCTGTAATGTGAGCCCCCAGGTCATGGTGAGCATCCACCCCGTGCCAGGAGCTGTGACCCTGCAGGAATTCCAGCCACTGCTGCTACCCACACATCTGCCACAAATACATGGCAACAGATCAAAACACAGAGGAAATCATAGAATCATTTGAGTTGGAAGAGATCTTTAAAGCCATCTGGTCCCACTCCCTGCAGTGAACAGGGACACCCACAGCTCCATCAGGAGCTCAGAGCCCCATCCTGCCTGACCTGAATGGCCCTAGGGATGGGACACCCACTGCTTCTCTTGAGCAACCTGTGCCAGCTCCTCACCACCCTCACTGCGAAAAAGGGTTTCCTTAAACCCTGTCCAAATCTCCCTTCTGTTAGTTTGAAACCATTTCCCCAGCTCCTATCACAACAGACCCTGCTACAGGGTCTATCCCCTTCACAGAATAATGAAGGCTGGAAAAGAGTTCTAAGATCCCCAAGCCCAACCCATCTCCACCAGGTCCCCAAGTGCAACATCTCCACAGTTCTGGAATACCTCCAGGGATGGTGACTCCACCACCTCCCTGGGCAGCTGTGCCAACACCTCAGCCTGGTCTGCTGGTTGGTGACCCTGCACATAGCAGGGGGTTGATACTGGATGATCACTGTGGTCCTTTTCAACCCAGGCCATTCTATGATTCTGTGATTTTATGACTCACCACTCTTCAGGAGACAAAAGAAGACTTGTGTTCCAGATCCCCTCGCAGCTCTGTTGCCCTTCTCTGGACACAATCCTGAACCTCAATGTCCTTCTCTTAGAGAGGGACCCAACACTGAATGCAGCATTTGAGATGCAGCCTCCCCAGCGCTTGGTCTTGCTGAAGCCCATCCAGTTGACCTCAGCCCACAGATCCCAGCCTATACCTTCTTGCAGCCTTATCCTCCGAAAGCAGCAGCAGAGAGCAGACACAGACAGCTCCAGCAAAGTTTCATTTCCTTTTCCCTATTTCTCGTCTGAAGGCGGCTGCCGGGGGGAGGGATGCACGCTGTGCAGCAGAGCTCTGCAGCAATCCTTCTCTCCTTTCTTTTGGCTGGAGCTCACACCCAGCCCTGCTCTGAGCCAGCCCCATTAAATCCCCACCATCTCAAATCCCACGAGATCTGCTTGCTGTTAGCCCAGCTCTTGCAGATGTGCGAGCTGCAGACCAGGAGGGAGAGGATGCATTGTGTGCACTCAGTGCTCTGCTTCTCTATGAGGACGTGGTTGACCCACTATTAAATTAACACCTCACCTTTTGCAGCCTCCAGCTGTGACCCCATGTTAAAGCCATGTAGAAGGGGTCAGGAATGCGTGCAGTAATCCAGGAGGCTTTAGCAGCTGGTTCAGGAGGGGGAGAAATCCAACTTGAGTTCAATATCTTGCTTCGTATATCCAATCCTCCTATGGAATCCTGCAGAGCTCTGGGTATTTGCTTGCTATGCAGCCAGGCTCCAGCAGTGCTCCGCCATTCACCACCACAGCAGTGGAGCACTGAGGTTGACCCATCCGAAAGCAATCACTTGGGGTGCTCTGTGCATAGTCCTCACCCACTGCCCAGCTGCAAGCTGACCCTCAAGCTTAAAAAACCTCACCCAAGCTGAGATGTGGGAGCTCAGCTCTGTGGCAAATCCAAAGGAGGTGGTGAGTGCTGCAGGGGAACAACAGCACAGCCCAAATCCAGGGCACGGGGCTGCTTTGGGCATGCAGGACTTCCAACCCCAGAGCTGCTGGTGCTGCTGGTTTGATTCACCGACTCGTAACAGTTAAGGGCTATAAAGGGATCATGAGGTGATCTAATCCAGCCTCCTGTCTATCATGGGTCGTTAAACAGCACTTCGTTACTTCTGGGAGTGGGAGCCAAGACGCCTCTTCCAGGAGGGCACTCTGTCTTCCTTTAAAGACAGCAAGAGACAGAACTCACCACTTCCCTCGCTGGCTTCTCCCTGTGGTTACTCACCCTCTCTCTTACAACACGCCTCCAACTTCTAAATTTAAAGATTTTCTGGCCTGATCTCCCAGACATTACTACTTGTTGTTTCTTCTTCGGGGCAGAACACACCCAGCAAGACCCGGTGCCCAGGAAAACACTCTGAAAGTCCAGACACCTCTCAGTTCTGCAGGGAAGCCATATAGATTCCGCTCTACTTGGGGAAAATACAGCCTTCAGCCTTCTGAGCACCGTTTGCACATCACCAAATTTGCCTCGATTCCCAATCTTCCCCCACTTGCCTTCCATTTTCCCTCCAGCAAAAGGGATTTCGCTTCTCAATTAGTGGCTTAATTCGCCCCCCCAGCAGCCTGTAAAATAACTAAAGCACACCCCAAATAGGAACAACCATCTCCCTTCCTTTTCCCCATCGCTCATGTCAACAAATCACCCCTGCATCATTAATCTCCAAACGGCTTTGTTCAATGAGCAATTTGTGTACAGTAACGAACGGAGCAGGTATTAAACATTTCTTAAGTGCACAGTACATAAGTTACTCATTAAAGAGGGAGACGTGTTGAAACACTAAGCAGAAAGCAGGAGCCATAAAGCACGGCTTTTGAGTCTTTTGGAGAAGGCCACCTGGCTAACCATGCTTCATGCCCATGTAAGAGTTCCCAAAACTACTTATCTGCTGTTTTTACTGCCTGTGGAACTGTTCACTCTGAGATGCAATGGATGGCGCTGCTCTGAATCTGAACGCCGTGATGCAGAGTGCTGAGCACGTTCTTTGCTTAGAATGGGAAATACAAACTATCTCATGGGTCACATCAAGCTGTCACCACACAAGAGGATGAAGCTCCCTGCAGAAAGGTGACGCCGTCGCTTCCTGACCAATGCATCGATTTCTCCCAGCGTGGGTGAGTACTTCCATAGAATTACAGAATCACGGTTGGAAAAGAGCTCCAAGAGCCCCAAGTCCAACCCCAACCCATCCCTACTGTGCCCACTGTCTCTCAGAGTGCCACATCTCCATGGTTCCTGAACACATCCACGGATGGGGGACTCCACCGTCCTCCTGGACAGCCCTCTCCACTGTCTGACCACTCCTTTGGAGAGAAAATATTTCTTAACATCCAACCTGAACCTCTCCTGCTGCAACTTCAAGTCCATCACCTCTCATCCTATTTCTGCACCCAGATTGAAGCCTACCACACACGTTTCCTGAGGGTTGCAAGAGCAGCCTAAGTCCACAGGCTGGAACTCAGTGATCTTTAAGGTCCCTTCCAACCTAAGCCATTTTGATTCGATGCTGGATAACAGGAACAATTTATGCACTGAACACTTTGTGGGATGTCCTCACCTGAAGGAGGTCACCTCCTGCAGAAAGCCAGGGCAGCTCTCTTACCTGATCAAGTAGCAACAGAACAGTAAACTGAGGATGAAGACGAAGATGGCCGTGCCAAAAACCACGATATATATGTTGAGAGGCAGGTTCTGGAACCCGATGTTCGGCATCCTGAAACTGTAATGCTGGAAATCCGAGCTCATGGGTAGGCTGTGAGGAAAGGGAGAAAACAGAAGGACGTGAGGCTCTGTCTGCAGGGTCAGCAGCATGGGAGGCCCTTAGGAAAGTTCTCCTTCCCCTCCCCTCTGGTGGCTTCCAAGGCCAATCCTTCACTTTGCAGAAATTCCCCTGCAGAGTACGCACACCAACGAGCGACCTCTAGCATCAGCGCAAGCCCCATCCCTGCTCCTGTGGGATGATGGATTGGAGGCATGTTCAGCACACCCCCAATGTCCCTTTTTCAATCAAATTCATTCTGGAGCCGGGTGGAAGAGCAGCCCAATGACTTTGCTCTGCTGTCAAATCTTCAGCGCGGAGCCGTTCACCCTTGAATATCCACAAACACCTCTGGCCAGACACAAAGTTCCCCACCCACAGCTTCAAGGAGGAAGTCACAAACCCTATCTGGTTTTCCTTTCATCAGTTACTGCCCACGGGAGGTGGGCAGTGCCAGCTTCACAACACATGGGGAAAGCACCTGCAGCCTGTTTTGCAGATTAAATGCCCTGAGGAACAACAAAATTCCCCCAAAGCAGGGAGTTTTCAGCTGTGTGTGGATGTGGGTTTTGGGGAGGAAGTGAGGATGGGGCAAAAACATGGGATCTGGGTAAGGATATCCTGAGGAATGAAAGCTGAAAAGCACCAGATCTGAGCTGCAGGTTGCTGGAGTCATCACAGAATCAAAGAATGGCCTGGGTTGAAAAGGCCATAATGATCATCCAGTTTCAACCCCCCTGGCACAGGTAGGATCACCAACCACCAGACCAGGCTGCCCAGAGCCACATCCAGCCTGGATGGATGGCCTGGATTCATCATAGAATCATATGAGTTGGAAGGGACCTTTAAAGGTCATGTAGTCCAACTCACCTGCAGTGAACAGGGACTCCCAGAAGGGATGAATTCAGCATTCAGAAGAAAGGGGAACTCTCAGAAATTACCCATACCATCGAGTGCTGCTGGCACAGCTCCACAGCAAAGCAGCACCTATATACACAGAGTTTAACCCAAACTCAACTCAACCAGAGCCCTACAAAAGTCCCTACAACAGGAGCTCCATCCTACTACTAGCACAACTCAACTCAACCAAGTTGATCAACATGGATGGATCCTATCCCCACCACCAGAATGCACAGGAGACTCTGCAGCTGTGGCACTTGCCTCGAAGAACTGAGTTGTTTCTGTAGGGTGAGAGAGTTAAGGGAATTAAAAGAGGATGCAAACACCACCGTGCACCCTGGTACCAAGTACTGGGACACTGCATTGAGCCCTATCAACAAAACAATTCAATACTGAGCCAAGCACTCAAACCAAGCAGAGATCTCCAAGAAGAAACAGTGCAACCAACCAGCACAGGACTGATTCTTTCTGTTTTAAACTCCTCGTAACATTCCTCCTAATCAGACTGAGGGCTACAGGCAGTGCTGATGGTGAACTGAGAACAAAGTAGTGGTGTCTGGGCATTTTGGGCAACCTCATCTAGACCCTGAACTTCCATGGCTTTGCTCAAACAGAACAGAAACAGAACCATAGAATCACAGAATCACTGAGGTTGGGAAAGGGTTCCAAGATCCCCAAATCCAACCCACACCATGACCACTGGCCACGTCTCTGAGTGCCACATCTCCACGGTTCTGGAGCACCTCTAGGGATGATGACTCCACCACTTCTTTGGGCAGCTATGCAGATGCATCACCACTGATATCCAACCTGAACCTTCCCTGGCACAACATGAGGCCAACACCTCTCATCACTGTTACGTGGAAGAAGAGGCCGACCCACACTTGACCACAACCTCCTTTCAGGGTCTCGTACAGAGCCATAAGGTCTCCCTGGAGCCTTCTCTCCTCCAATCTGACCCATCCCAGTTCCTTGGCTGTCTTTCCTAAGACTTGAAATCCAGTCCCTTCACAGCTCTGTTACCCTTCTCTGGACAAGCTCCAGGGCCTCAAATCACTGCAGCTGGCCCAAAGCCATAGGAAAACAAGCCGAGCCCTTCAAAGATCTCTACAATGAGAGCTCCATCTTTCTAGTGTTATCAGTATTTTGCCCCAAAAGGATGCCCCCAAAGTAGCCATCATCTCCTACAGGGGCTCATTCTTCTTTGGACAGTCCCTAGGCACACAAGGAACATGCAACAGGTTCATCTTCTACATTGGTCCTGCGACCAAATGAGGTTAGAAGCTAAAAAATCCTGTGCAGGGATCCGGGAAACTGTTAACTTTAAAAGGACTGAAATTGGATGATTTTGAGGAGCCAAGCTTTTGGTTTTCTTTTTGTTTTGTTTTGTTTTGTTTTGTTTTTGTTGGGAGCGTGGTAGGGGAGGAACCGTATTTTAATCTGCTCCAGCTTTACAAGAGCGCAGCCAAAAGAAATAAAAAGTGCTGTAGGGAAGGACGGCTGCTTTCTGAGGCAAAACCAAAGCCTTCATGCTGTGTTCTCCCAACCGAGGGTCCCCAACACCCAAGTTGGGGCAAAACAGGACTTGGAAAATGCCCCTGGGCTGGGTCAGCTCCACTTTGGTGGGTAGGAAGATGCTGGATGCTCCTGGCTTGAAATATTGACCTGCACATGGATAAACCTGGGGAAAAGAGTGAAACAACCCCAAACCAGGGATGCCCTATGAGAGACCCGAGGGTGGGCTGGACAAAATAATATCACAGAATCATAGAAACATTATTGGAAAAGACCACCATCAACCCATCAAAACCATAAAACCACACAGTGCCGATACAGCGGCCAGGATGAAACCAAAGGAGGGAAAATCAGATTTTCCCATGAAGACATTTGTTGAAAGACGTGATGGCTTACAAAATTAAAGGGATTTCAGTGTCCTTGTGATAGGAATGAGACTTCCCCATGGGGAGGGATCCTGTCTGGAGTAGGAAATTCCCAAATTCCCAGCAGGAGATGCTGGTTTGTACATGTTAATTAAAACCCCAGTGATGGTTAATGCCAGGTGAACAAGCAGGGAAGTCAGGAAACGAAGCTCCAGCAGCATTCACTTTGCTCTGATTACAAGCCAGGCAGTTAAAGGCAAACCCAAATAAGCCACGCAGCCAAATTAATCCCTATTATAATAACAGCAAGCACTTAATGCGCTGAATAAGCACAGCCAGCCTCTTACATGCAGCTTTCATCAGAAGATCTCAAAGCGATGAGCAAGGCTGGCAATTATCTTCCTGCACTGAGGAACTGCAGCAAGGGGGGACCAGACCTGCACTGAACTGCTGGGAGATGTATTTTTTTTTTAATTATTATTAATTTTTACCACTGCATAAATGGGCCATGCCAGCATTGAGCATTCTATTAAGTTTAGCCCAGGTGGAGGGCTGGTTTGGGGGTCAACAGCACATCTGGTTGGCTGGGTAACAGGCACACATCTCCTGTTCCAAAGGCATTGGCACAAATCCACAAAGTGCTTCACACAGGTTGACCCAAAAGCTCGGCTGTTAACTTGGGTGGAAGTTAAAATGAATGCAAAACATTCCCGAGGTTGGTGTCAGCTGCGGAGCAGGGCGTTCTTCCATGCGATAAATCCACAACATAAATGTTATTCATTGTGTGTGCTTAGTGGGATGACTTCCAGACTTTCCCCTTTCTGGGCACTTTGACACCAGCAGGGAGACAGCGACGCGCAGCCAGCAGGCTGGAAGGAAGCTCTCATCCACATCATAGCCCTGGTTGGAACAAGATGATCTTTGATGTCCCTTAGAATCATTAAGCCTGGAAAAGACCACCTAGTCCAACCAGCAAGCCATCGCCACCACCACAACAGAGTCATTAAGGTTGGAAAAGAGCACACGGATCCCCAAGCCCAGCCCATCCCACCGTGCCCACTGACCACATCCCTCAGCTCCACATCCCCGTGCTCTTAAACACCTCCAGGGACGCTGACTTCACCACTCTCTGGGCAGCTGTGCCAGTGCTTGACCACTCTTTCGGAGAAGCTTTCCAACCTGAAACAGCAGCAATGCTCGTCCAGAAGGATGCTGCTCAACGTGGGACTGCAGCTGGGTCACCAACGCCATAAAACCTCTTGTCAGATGGAACAAAAGCTGCTCATTTTCCCCATTTTGGCTGCACGCTGGTCGTTGGTGCATGCACAAGCAAGAAATCCAACTGGACTCCCAGCAGGAGCCGTTCCGGACCTTTGATCCCCATTTCCCTCCCTTCAAGAGAGAATTTGATGCTTTTTGAACAGGAATCAAAATTCCCTGGCTTTGCTCCTTGGTTAGATGATGCTGAGCGCTGAGATTTAACCCCCTCAGTGTGGAAATACAGTGAACAGATCAGCCAGCAGAAAGGTCTAAAAGTCTTCAAACAAATAATAAATGGAAGAAAAAAGACCAAGGCAGCTTCACCAGCAGTGCTGTGCTATTCGGTGAGTTTCTGGGATGCTTTTCAGTTGGTTGAGCAGACACTGTGACCTTCAAAGCACACCTTTACATGGGAGAAGGTTTTCAGTGCTGCTGGTGCAGAAAGATGCAGAAAATAGGTCAGCAGAAGCTCCCATTGCTGAGCTTACATCAGCTCCACGCTGTTGCTGAGGCAGATCTTGCAAATTCCAGGAAAAAAAGACCAAAAAAAAAAAAAAAAAAGGTAAAATAAATGATAATAACAAAACAAAACAAACACTGTTGCTTTTTTATCCAGGCTAACCCAGCGTTTGTGCTGCTTGGGCTGCCCTTGGATGACGGCAGCAGGAAGGAGGAAAGCAGCCAGCTGTTGGGCTGCTCTGGCAATTGTTTTGCTGGAATTTCCAGGCAATGCAGTGAGTTTTGGTAAAGCCACAGGAAGTTCATCAAGTGGCCACAGGATCCGTGTGTCCGGAGCTCTGCATTCGGGAAACCGACGCTGGATGCTGGATGCACACAGATTGTCCAAATACGGTTCAATTGCAGCTCCATGATGAGATAATGCTTGAGGAATTTTCTCCCTTTGGCTCTGTGGAGTTTTTTTCCCCATTTACCTGGCACGTGGCTCTGTCCCAG